GAGTAATTAACATGAATTTGTAAGGTGGTCAGAAGTGCAGTGTTAACTGTCTACTGCTCGAAAGCCTACCAGGAGTAACCCCTGAAGATATTTTCTGAACTGAGCAGATGCTGTCATATTTTAGGCCGGCGTATCAAACAAAACGATCGGGTGTGGACGAGAAATTAGTGAGGGTGGTCTCTGTCGATGAAGCTACCCTTGGAAAAAACAGGAAACTATGCTAATGGTCATCAAACCACATCTTTACTGATAAATCCTGACATCAGTAGAGGTACAAATGTCTTTATTGGGGAACGAATTAAACGAGTTGAAGATCTGGTACCACTGTATCTTATTGGCACTGGTGCTATGCAGGTGATTCCAAATTCCAGCGCCTTGAGGCGACTTTTGTTGTGATTTGGCGCTATATAAATAAAATTGAATTGAATTGAATTGAATTGAAATGAAAACCAAAACAATGAGCTGAAAGACACTAAAATAGATGAAGAAGCGTGGAGGAACTGAGGGAATAGACTCGTTTTTGTTGGTTTTCTTTTAAGAGTTTTCTCATTAAGCATTCATGTTACATCTGTTCCTAAGACACATAAATTAGCCTTGCTTTGGAAAACAAAACAAACGTATTTATCGAGGACTCACTTTAAGCTGAAGTGTTTAACTTTTGTAAACAAATTAAGTTCTATTATATTTGACCCTGTCACAGCCCATATTTGTTTTCTTTAATTAATGTAGAAGTGGTCAAAGTTGTAGAGGTAGTATAAGTTGCTAAACAACCGTTTAAGAAAGTGCTCGAGGAGTCACTTTGACAAACAGCCTCATTTGTAATTTAGGGCTTCCTTTGTGTTTAGTACACAGTTTCATTAAACCTGCCCACTAAATTGCACTGAACCTGGGTTACTCTCCAGACACATACTCCTCAACCTTACAGACATCTAATCAAACCTTTAAGCATGGGAACAGCCTGAAACCTGGGCAGCTCTCTTTGTCACGGCTTCTTGGTAACGCGGCTGCGCTCGCTACATGCTGGCCTCCCCCCCCGTCTTCTCCTGCCAAGAGCTGAATCTCTGAGGCCACTCGGAGGGGGAGACTTGTTTTTCCAAACCCGCACCTCTATTGTTACATTGCATTTGATCTGCTTTTGACCAAGGCTCCATGGTTACTCTCCCAGATACGCCGGCAGTCGGGACGACTTTAGCTGTGCTTCCTGAGATCATGTGCAGAGAAAAAAAAATGTTGCAACTTCAGAGACAGCCTCAAAGGCACATCTCCATGGTTTAGGTCAAATAATGTACTCTTCTATCACTTAGTATATATAAATGACCTTTGTGGTTTTGCCCAAGCAAGAAGCATCTCCATGAAACACACATTTATTGTCCTCTCACTCTCTTCGTGTCTGGTCATGTTTGTGTCTGCAGGCTTTGAAATGTAAATGTATTAAATTACATAAACATCAATTTACTGCTTTAGTGTTAGAGGCTATATAAAAAAACTCTTAATGAAGGCCAATGGTAAAGCTTCTGATTACTTTCTTTTATCCATTTTTATGGCAGGAGCAGATACTTAGCGAACATGAATCTCTAATTTCACGACTGTGTAACCGCTGAAGGCAGTGAAAGTAAAGTGAGGATGCTTTTGAAAAGAATGCTGACTTTTCAAAAGTGCTTTAGGTCTCAGTTGCTTCCATCTCTTGGTGTAATCTCAGACTGATTTTGTGATGATGATGTGATCCAATTTGTGGGGTCGCATCTTCTTTTAGCTCCTGTCTTTATGATTTCGTCTGCTAACTGATCAATGCCAACACCTAAACCGGCTGCCCGAGATTGTTTAGGTCTGCCTTGTGCCCCCAAAAGAGCTCTGACCCAGCGAAGGACAGATGCTGAATTGGATAGAGATCTGGGGAATTGAGGCCAAGTAAACACCTTGAACTCTTTGTTCAGTTCCCTCAATCCATGCCTGAAAAGTTTTAGCACTGTGGCAGGTGCATTATTCTGCTAAAAGAGGCCACTTCTGTCAGGGAATACCACATCCATCAGGGATCAGTGTGACTAGTGTTTAGGTGGGTGGTACATGGCAAAATACCATGCATATGAATGCCTGGACCCAAGAGTTCTCAGCATTACACCAAGTTGCCCTCTTTCCCTCTTGTAAATAAATCACAAATGCACAAAATGTAAAAGATGAAACATCCTTCCCTGACTAGTTCATTATGTTATTGGTCCATGCTCTCACTCTAAAGCTCATGTATGTTCTGTGAGTGCTGCACAGAAGTCAGCTTTGACACACTCAGCTGGTCTGAAGCTGCACAGCTTCATATGCAGCCGTATAAAAAGGCTGGGTGTAATTTTGGGTCTAAAAAGTGAAAGCCATGCAGAAGTGCCTCAACTGTGCATTTCAATGAAGAGAGATCACTTGAAAAAATCGAACATGATTTATTGAGATGGAGAAATTAATATATTTGGCGATTAGTCTCCGATAACCCATCGTGGCAGGACTGAATCCCAGCAGTAAAAGGATTTAGGACAGCGTCTAGATCAGAGTCTAGAATAGCTGGCTCGAATAGAGCTTTGGCTCAGGTGTCTGAGGTGGAGATGGGGAGGAAGTAGGATGCACAAAGGAGTCTGAAAGGAAGAATGACAGATTTAAACCATGCAAAGTGGAGGCTCAGAGAAGGCAGGCAAGAAGATGATTGGAAAGCAGTAGACACATAAGCCTTATTTGTTCACTTGTGAGCATTCCAACGTTTTTACTTCCATAGGAATTCAGAGGACAGGTAGCAGCCAGGTGAAGCTAATCAAATACAATCTATTCAAGGCGTTTTGGCAGAAGTGTAGACCAATATTCCTCCACAATGATCTGAGAGACTGATAAATGCATACAGAGAGTGATTACGTCAAGCTATCGTTGCTAAAGGTAGATCTGTAAGCTACTGAATCATGGGGTTGTATTTAGTTTTTCACAGGTCCACATAAGGGAAACCAGCTTTCAGCTTCTGTGACCTCAGCAAAAACCTTCCTGATAAGATGGCTTTAAGTCCTAATTGCAGAGTGTTGTTCATTTTATAAAATATGTTCCCCGTTAGAATCAAAGACGTGAGATAAAGTACGCTGTTGCTTTGTTATCATTGAAAAGCTTGAGCGTGCTTTGTCTTCTTGTTTCTTAGTCAGATCCTCACCTTCCTCCTCACATTTGGTTTCAATGTTTCCATTCAGCTCATAGCTTCACATTTGGACTAACCAGCAGCTGATGTCAATATCCATCTTTTATATACAGTCGATGTACTCTGTAAGCTGGGATGCACATTGTGCCTCAGTGCCTCTCTATCACATCCATATCAAGGTTTTAGAAATTTGGAGTTGATGTTAGACCACACGGGTCAGCCTTTATTCTCCGCATGCATCGGTGAGCCTAAGGCGCCATAACCCACACATAGCCCTCACAACTGGCTTCTGGGAAAGTCGCTGTGTTTCTGTTACAGCCATTTTCTGTGTCCAACATGTCAGCTTCAAGACATGACAGTTAACTTGACAGGTGCCATTGTAACAAGGCCATCAGTGTCATTCACCTGTCAATGGTTTTAATGCTGTGGCAGTTTGTAGATTTTCGATTGGTCCGATTCTCCCGACAAACAAGTGTCAGAATCTTATGCTCTGTACTCTATCTGGAGATTAAAAAAGGAGTTGTCATATTATCAGCTTCTATGCATGTCTTCTCAACTGACAGCATTCACTCCCGTTTAATTTCATTGGTTGTTGGCCTCAACTCGCTGCCAAGTTCACTTTGTATTTATAACA